TCTCTTGTTGACTCGTTGAGGTCGGGAAAGAGAGTGAGCAGACCACGGGAAGAAGAGGCTATGTTCTGGGTAGCTGAACGGGAAGAAGAGGCCATGTTTTTTGGGTTGCTGAGTGTTTCCGATAAGGGTTGGATACAGAGTATTTACAGATTGTTTCAGAATAACAAGTTCAGAGGTTTCAGTCTGGTTTGGTTTCCTCCGCCTCCGCATTGGTTTATATTGACACAGACGACGCGGCCGACATGCCGCTCTGTCGCTCACGTGCCTCGCCGCGTCTCCGGCTCACCTTTTGATGGCTCGACGCTTTCTGTCGGGCACGTCTTTTGATGAAGTGGGCGCGCCTTTTGAGGGCGCGATTTTTGAGGGCTCGATATATATATCTACATGTATCTCTTTTGGGCAGCCTATATACACACTCATATAGTGTCTTCTACAACGGTCCGGCATGACCTCGTAAACTGTCCTACTACATCTGTCCGGCACACCTTTTTATAGATTGGGCACGCATTTTTGATGCCACGCCTTTTGAAAGATTGGGCACACCTTTTGAGGGTGCGACTTTTTAAGCGTCCGACAAGACTCTGTAAACTGTCCCGACATTGATTCCGGTTAGCTCCTTTTAAGGGTCCGACAAGACTCCGTAAACTGTCACCACAACTGTCACAACATTGTCTGCTACAACGGTCCGACATAACCCCATAAACTGTCTTCTACATCGGTCTGACACCGCCATCCAGTGTCCTCTACAACGTTATGACACCACCATCCAGTGTCTTCACCAACGGTCTGACACGACCATACAGTGTCTCCTATCCTTTTTTTATATATTTTCTTGTTTTGTTCCTCTCTTCAAACTCAAGTTGGTTAGTTTCTATCCTCCTTGAGTTTGCGGGGGGCTGTTAGAATTTACCATCACCTACCACCACTACCACCTCACCTACTCCACTAAACCTAACCCACTACACCACTATCACCATCCACTACACACCATCCACTACACCTACATCTATATAAGGAACCATTTGTAATAGACAGGATATGTATCAATAGATCAATCTATAACAATTAATAATACAATCATTTCTCTTTATACATTAAATTTCTACATTCTCTATCCTAAAAATATTACCCACGCATACCCTTCGGTCATTCTATTCAGTACCATCCCATACCCAATTGAAACCTCAACAATGGATTTCTCATGATTGTCATCTACACCTACAGTTTCCTCTAGTTGAAGGAAAATTCTTCAAATAACACCATCACTGCCTTTCTCTCTCTAAATTAACAATAAGCAAACAAAATTAGACAAAAGGAATTCACATCTCTGTTCTTTAATTGTCTGGTCAATGTAACCAATCATATAATTTCAGTGAGAGAGAGAAGAGGAAGTTAGCAAAAATAGAGGAAAAAAAACAAAATCAAAAACCCATGGAGGAGCTGAGGCTCCACCTCTAAACTGAAAACAACTTGTTGAATTTTCTTCCTAGATATCTCTGTGCATTCGAGGCGAAAAGAAATTTTATTTTTCAGGACAAAAATTTTGAACCACTGCAGAAAGTAATAAAAATGAAAACCCACGAAATACAAGAAGAAAAAACCAAAACCCAAAATTCAGAACCACAAATAACCCTAGATTTTCGAATCACAGCCACAATATCGACCCAAATTCCAAGAAAACTCAAATTCAAAGATGAGTATATCTCACCGAAACTTTCTCAACAACATTGACATCAGATCCACCAACACCGTCACCATCGCCGTCGACGACGACGCCCTCCGCTGCGTCGACGCCGTCATTGTCGCCACCGCTAAAATAGATGGAGGAGACGGAATCGAAGACGTCTTGGGGAAGAGGGTGGTTGCGAGAGAGAAGATTGAGAGCACAAATCAAGGTCTTGGTCTTCTCTAAGTAGTCGCGATCGAGGTCACCACCACCACCACCACCGAGAGAGCCTGGTTTGTTCACCTGAGCCACCATGGCGCGAAACACCTCTGTGTGTGTCTCTCTCTCGAAGAGGACCGTTAAATTTGAGAGTTTGAAAAAATTTATTAACGGTTACGTATCTATTCCATGTGAATAGACATCTGTTGTGTTGTGTGCTTAGATAAATTCTACTATCTCTCTCTCACTTGGCGGAAACCCTTCCTCTCTCTTACCTTCGAACGTATATCGAGCTGAATTATTATGAATTGCACAAAAGGGCTTTTTATATTTTTAAATTGTAATGATGGCAAGGGTCTTTTGGAATCGCTAAATGCACCACATACATATCAAACTATAAAAAGTCAAAAAGTCACTATCTTATTTAAGTTATATCATCTTATTTAAATCATATCACTTCTCTATCACATCACTTCAAATCCAACTTATACTCAATTCATATTTCATAAAAAAATCAAAAAGTACACTTATTTAGATCATGTTGGGATGATTTAAATAAGTGCATTTTTTGACTTTTTATGAAATATGAGTTGGATATGAATTGGGTTTGAAGTGATGTGATAGAGAGGTGATGTGACTTAAATAAGATAATGTGACTAAATAAGATAGTGACTTTTTAGCTTTTTTAGATTATGACAAACAAGGCCTAAATTTTTTTTAATTTTTATAATGCATAAGGATATTCAAAATTGATTTCAAAGCTGAACAAATTTAAAAATATATTTAAATTTAATTTGTTTACATAATGAATTAATTTCAAATAAATTTGTGAGATTAAAAATTTTTTTGAAGACTTCTTAATTTTTTACAAAAATAGTGTGAATCAGAATGAATTTTTTATCTTGTATAGTGAATGAGAAATAAGTTTTGATTTTTTGTATGAGTTGAAATTATTTTGACTTTTGTTTTTTATTTTAATGATTTTTTAATTTTTTTGATTTTTTTTTTATTATTAAAATAGTCACTTGTCAAAATGGAGGCTTAACGTATCATAATTTATTCATTTAATAGTTCAGAAGTAATTTTTTGGAGGATCTAACTTTGAATGGGATAAAATTAAGACTAATAGGTTGATCAGGTTGTTGAGACGTTCTATTCACTTCACACTATTGTGTTCAAACTCAACATATTACGTATATACACATTGGAAATACTACGATACGCATCTCTTAATAGTGTTTACCATATGTATCTTATAAATAAAGAATAAAATGTCATAATTTCATATTTTTTGAGTCATAGTTATAAAAAAAAATTATCATAACTATACACAGCATGAGATATAATTAAAAATCTCATAAATCATAACTAAAGAAAATTAGTGATAACTAAAGGTATACATGATACACCCATTTTAATAATGTGCTTATTAGAATTTTCCATTAATTGTCCTCATAATTTATTCATTCAATAATTCTAAAAAATTAGTTATTTTTTTAGAGGAAGTAACTGAGTTGAATGTGAATAATTAACGGGCAAATTACATATACCCCCTCGAGGTTTAGCAAAATTACAGATATTTTCCTGAGGTTTGAGAAATTACAGATACCCCCTGAAGGTACTATTTGCATAACAAATTAGGGGGCAATTGTTATGAAAATATAAACCTTTGGGGACAATTTGTTATGATAATATAAACCTCAAGAGGGTATCTGTAATTTAGATAAACCTCGAGGGAGGTATATGTAATTTGCCCATAATTAAGACTTAGGTAAGACGACAGAGTTGACATGGTAGTTGAGGTGCTCCCTTCACGTTTCCAGCTAAGAGTGTAAAAACAGTCTACGGCCTAGGGTGGGCCAAACCCGTTTAGGCCTGTTGGGACCCGGGTTCGAATCCAGTCCGAGGCCCTAGGCCAGGGCCATTATTTTGAAACTCAATCCATCGGTCCGCTTAAGGCCCATTCAAGGCCAGGCCTAAGGCCCATTCAAGGCCAGGCCAAAGGCCCAGTGTTTTTTTTAGTGGAAAATATTAAAATTTTGGTAGAAAAAATAATTTTAAAAAAATGTTCAGGCCTGCCCAAGCTTGAGCCCGGACTCGGCCCACCAGCCCGCCCAAGGCCCGAATACCCTTTGGCTTGGGCTTGAGCTTGGGCCTAAGTTTAATTTTTTAGCCTGTGAAGCAAGTCGGCTCAGTGAGTCGAGCCGAGGTGGGTTAGGCCAAATTTTACACCCCTCTTCCAACCTTATTGCTGTGAATGCAATTTCTCTTCTCCTCCCTTAAATTTGGCAACATAAATAAATAAAAATTATGAATTATTAACAATACTCTCTTCCTGAAATTATTATTAGTATTATGTCAATAAAAGGAAGACAAAAATGTAAACATACAGAATTTAAAAAATAGTCTCAAACACATCGAACATGTTTAGTTTATATTTGTGAAACAATTTTAAAAAATATTTTTTAAAAAAGAATTTACAAAATATGAAAATTTATTTGGTTATATGTCTTAAAAATAGTTTTGGAGTTTTAAAATTTGAGATTTTTTTTTTTTTTTTTTTTTTTTTTTTGGTAATTGAATAGATGAGTGTAAAAGAAAAAGTAATTAATTGATACGTAGGATGTGTGAAAATGAAAGAAGAGAAAATAAAAGTGACTGATTAATGTATAACATAGAAAAAAGTGTTTCTAGATTTTTTTTTTTTTTTTGAGATAATTGCTCCCCAATTATGTCAGTACAAAAAAATTATATATTCATGAAAAACTTTAGAATTTTTATTATTAATATTTATAAAGTTTCTCACTTATTTGTAATTATGTTTTCAAATCTCCACCAATTTGATATTTCTCCTCTCTTTTTTTTCCAAAAATTTTCAACCAAAATTTTTTCCCCAAAAATTCTCTCGCAAGAGTAAACAAGGCCATCATGTTCTTGCCAATATTCTTCTCCTCCATATTCCTTGCATGCTTTTGCCAATGAGATTCTCAACTTGAAAGTTAACAATTAATTTATCTAAAGGATGCAAATTGGCACTTGGGAGGCTTGTATATCATTCCTCCATAAATTGAAACATTTTGCAAAAATGCAATAAGCAAATTATTATTATTATTTTTTTATCAATAAGTAAAATTCATAACTACCTTTTGTAACATTCACATAATGGATGACATAATGAAGGTTCAATCCATTCAAATGGATAACAACATACCTATCGGTAACTTTAATCTTAGACTTTGTTATCTTCAATTTTAAATATAAACAAAAAAATTAAATCAGAGTTTTTAATTATTAACTTAGATAACTTCAATTTTAAATACAAAGAAAAAAAAAAAGTGAATAAAATCAAAACTGTTAATTGATTTGACTTTTTTGAAACAAAGATTCTGTTACAACAAACCTAAAATTCACAGGCTAAGGGTCAATTCCAACCGTGAGTCAACCAACCAACCCAACACCTAATGCGGTCCGGTTGTATAACACCCCACCATCTCTTCCTAGTGTCAGAAACTACCTTGCAGGCTCGGCCTTGAATCAAGCTGTTGAGGGTAGTCCATGGTTGTGAAGTTCTCAATGATGTCGCTCTTTGATGATTTCAAGCTGAATAATTTTGATGCTCGAATCTCTGCAAAGCACGGTTGATTGGTTCTTGAAAGTACTGAAGCGATATAAAGATAGCTTCCTGTTTGCCAAAAAAATCAATATTGTAAACACAGACTGATAAACAAGTTGGTTCATGGCAAATTGACAACTGAGATCAACAATAGTGCACCTCAGTTCGAATTGTTCTACTTCCTTGATGAGGACACGTGTTCAAGTATGCATCAAATACCCCATGTGCATTTTTACCCTGGTAAACAAAATAAATAAATGAGAGAAAAAGAAGTGGTTTTCACTCCTTTTTGGTTAAGTTTTTGGCTTAACTAGTTAGTTCAAGTCAACACGTCAGTAAACCTCCAGAACTTTGAAGTTGTTCCGGAGGGAGTCATGCAAGCTAGGATAGCTTAACTCATTTTCACAATTAAGATGTCTTTACTTAATTAAAAGTGTAACAAAATCCTACCATACGAATACCTTTAAGTTTTTGTCTTCTTCTATGCTCTCTTCCAACCCAGCAAGTCCACCAAAAGCAATCAATAGGTGCCTACAGACCATGAGATCATATCAACAAAGATTTAGCTTTATCGAGAGATCATGATGCATACACAAAATTATTTCACTTCAGACATTACAAGTTAATTAGAGGTTGAAAGATGCACAAGAATCATGATCCAGGAACGCATCACACATTAGGTAACTAGAACAGTTCAGAAGGCATGACAGTTTTGAGGGGATATTGGCCCAACAATCTCTCTTTCTCAATTCTCCAATATTGTCCATCTGACCATCAAAAACCTATTCCTAGATCAAAGGTTAATATCTCTAGTTCTTTGCTTTTATTTTGTCAGACACTGTGATACCTGGTTGTGCAGTTTTTGTTTTATCCTTCCTTTGTTTCTTCAGGTTCAGCCCTCTGAGGACAGATTTTCGGAAGTTTGGAAAGTTGGATTTTGAAAAATCATACCAATAATAGAAAATGTAGGATTTAATTATTATATTGTGTTATTTTGATACCTTCTAATTATAAATAAGCTGTTATTGTTAAAACCTATCACCTCAGACACTGTGATACCTGGTTGTGCAGTTTTTGTTTTATCCTTCCTTTGTTTCTTCAGGTTCAGCCCTCTGAGGACAGATTTTCGGAAGTTTGGAAAGTTGGATTTTGAAAAATCATACCAATAATAGAAAATGTAGGATTTAATTATTATATTGTTTTATTTTGATACCTTCTAATTATAAATAAGCTGTTATGTATTAGGCTTTTTCAGACTTGAATATTGAATTGAGAATATTGATATTGACATTTGGGTGTGGCTTTTCTTTTCTTTTACATTATTTTCTTTTGGAGGCTGTCCTACATCTGGAGGGAGGAGGGATGAGGGAGGGGTGACTAAAATTTGCATATACGAAAATCAATTAATCAACTACTGTGTTGAAACAAAACTATTGCAAGGCAATGGTTTTAAAAGACAAAAAACGAATGTCAGATAACAGAGAACAAGGAGCTGCCCTGGTCACTTGAGACCACAGAGGAACCTATAGTCACCATTAAGAAATGGGAAAATGTCTCGTAACTCAAATTTTGTGGCTCAAAAGTGGCTCAAATGGCCAAAACGACGTCGTTTTGGCCATTTTTATGTTGTTCTGTACTCAAATCGACGTCGTTTTGGCCATTTGAGCCACTTTTGAGCCACAAAATTTGAGCTACGTAGCATTGTCGTAATAAATGATACAAAGCCATACCTGAAAGAAGGTAGTGTAAGTTCTGAAGACTTCACAAACTGACCATGCTCTGAGGTACCAATCAGATAATCATAACCACCCTGTAAAATGAAGTATTGCAATTTGATTGAAGAAACTCCTGCCTAAACTTTAGGAAAAGAAACATGTATTGTTTTTCAAAAAGAACATTATTTCATGGGAATAGTATATATACCATATAAGGGCTGTCCTTGAAAACAGAACTGGTAGTGGAAGCATATCGCACTTTATAACCCCAATACGTTCCCACCTCTTCCCTAGGCTTGGAAGATGAGACAACCTGGCGTGGTAGATCTAGGAAATACTAAACTTCATGAGCAGTACACGATTTTGTTATTCAAATGAAAAATTAAATTGCATGCATGATCAATAATCACAAGTGTACAACTAAATCAAACTTCAAAATTTAACAACAATAAATTATGAATAATCAGGCTTAAAAGAAAGGATTCAACTAAACAAAGTAGCTACCATGTATCATACAACTTTGAGTTGAACCTGTTTCCTTGTGACCAAAAGTCATTTGGCAAGGATTGCTCAAGCGGGAAAGAATGAAATAGATGCAATATGGGACAAACAAAGGGGTGTCAGACAATCCCAAAGACAACCTAGTAACCTAACTGACATATGATTTTTTACATGGGAAAAAATATATAGAGAGGTGCAAAATATGAAACTGAAATCCAAGTACATGAAAAGCTCAAAAATGTTAAAATTAAATCATGAATATTAACATAGGTTATAAATGAAGTGAGGAAAAACTCTTGCGATGAAATCCCATTCATTTGTCCTGCTAAGTCCTATCTCTCTCAGCACAAAAATAAATAAATAAATAAAAGAAAAATAAAATCATTACCTGCATCCAAATTGCGATTGGTTCCCATAGGAACGGTAACTCTTACTCCAGGTTCAAGTACTTCCTCAATCAAAACATTCTGCACAATATGACATTCAACCAATATTTACCCAAATCGAGCTTATGATGTGAACTGTCACTTGCTGAAAAACATAAAAGTAAAGATTCTACATCTACAATGACAAGAAGGAAAATATACATATATGTATATATATGAATTTCACCCTAATTTACTGATGATAGCATATTATTCAATTTGGTCTAAGTTGAAATAAATAAAAAATCAGCATAAGAATAAATGATAAAGGTGTATAGAAGAAAAGACTATTCCAATCTATAAGCCACAATCATTACATTTTGTCCGTGTTCAAATGCCACCACCTACGTAGTTAGCAATTCAGTGGGAAAGGATAATTATAAAAGGGTAAAAAAAAAAAAAAGCGGCAACAAATGTAGAGCCTATTCTGGATTTCCCATCACTGTCAATTTGTGTGATTGATATTGGTCAGTGGGCTGGTCAAGTTCGGGCTTCCTCACCCATAGTACAGTGTAAACACATGCCATGCGATCCTCAATGATGTGGTGAACAGAGAATGCTGCATGTGCACGAATTGACTTCCACATATGCTTACAGACACAGTGAAGAAGCAAAGACAGTAGTTGATCTGGGAGAATCAATATAATAACAAGAGCCTAATTATATGTCATGTGTCCATCTATTGCTCAACGGACAGAGAATACTGTATGTGAACCTATCAAACACCTAACAAAAATAACACTGAATTACCACACACGCATACACACACACACATTTAAATATGTACACACACACACACAAAGAGAGAGAGAGAGAGAGAGAGAGAGGGAGAGAGGGAACCAGAGGACAGTTCCACTTCCCAAAAACAAGAATGAAATATAACAAATCAAACAATATAACCATCATCACACACACAGTTCGCAATCATTTGAAACAACTGGAGAATTATACTTCAGATAACTTCTCACATCCAGACCATACGGAAACTGGGTATAAGTAATCGAAAACAGTTATCACAGATCAAGCAAGGGGCTTGCGGAGCACATGCTGTTGCATAATTATTTGGAGAGACTTGAGTCAACTACTACATTCTCATGCTTTCTTATTTGGAGAGACTGAACATCAGACATCTAGATTCTTATGCTTTCTTAAGTAACAGATGGTAAATCTTATAATTCCATAACTATATATAGGCATGGTACAACCTTCCTATACTTAGCTTGAGCTATAGAAAATGTACCTAATCCATATCAGAAAAGTGAAAGCTATCAACTACTACAAGCAACTAAATGAATATATATATAAAAGAAAACTGAGATATAATATAATATGACCATACTTTACTGAGGCCCACATCAACAAGTGTTCCTGCAGAGTTTGGATGCCGTTCCTTTTTTGTGATACCTACAAAATGATAACATGATATCAACAGTGAGTCAATGGTCAAGAACAACAATCCAATCATTTCATTAAGTTTGTGAAATATATAACTGACTCTTTAAAGGGCAACAATCCAAACATCCATACAACATGATTGTTTTTATTTTTTCCTTTCGCCTCACTAAAAACCACTGCACATGGCACTTCAGTACATTCTCATCAATTAAGCCCTACACCAATAGTTGCTCTGGCACTATCTTTTGTACTCATCATATCCAATTTAGTCCTTATCAAATCTATTTGTAATTGCTCTAAGTCTGACTAACAATATTAATGACATCTCAACTATTTAGAAGACATCAATAGTTTCTAAAATCAAGATTCCACGAGGATAACAAAAGGTACCAGTTACTATCAAGAGAGAGGAAATTTTTAACCTTCAAATTTCAATGGCTATGCAATAAGGGCAGGCATTGGTACATCAAGTCTCATGTGACTATTGCAATGTACAAGAACAGAGAATATCATAGGAAAATTTACCTTCACGATATGAAGCCCATTCATGCTTGCGCAAATGATGTGGAGCATCAAGTGGGGGCAAAAGACCCTACAAAAATCCAAGATATTATCTAGGTTTTCATGAATTTCAACAAAACAAAAGAAAATGCACTATTGGCCACATCCAATAAAACAGTTACAAATTAGATTCGTACCACAAAACGCAAGTTGTTATGTTTTGGGAAGAGGCACTTTCTTAGATACTGTGGTGTCTCAAGGTACCGCAAGATCCTTATAAGAAAAGCTGCACCGCTTTCATTCTCCCCCGAATTGTCAGCCGTAGCGGTAACCCTTGAATCATCCGTTGAACTACTATTGTTGTCAAATACCACCACCTACTTAAAATAGGAAAAATTTTACTTTTTCTTTTCAATAGGTAGTTATGAATCTTATGCTGGACACTCAACAAGTTAACTACCAATTAACAAAAAAATCTAATCCCTCGCACCCAAAAATCACTAATTAGACAAAACCCATTTCTCAAATTCAAACTAGAATTCATCACAAAATACCATCTTGATCAATCATAATCTCTTTGATAGCAAGAAGTGCATTAAATCAATAAAAATAATAGTACACACTAGTTTACCTCATCTATTCGGAAAATGGTTGCGGCACGTGCAATTTGACCAGCCAACTGAAGAAAGAAACAAATGAAAATGAGAAAATATCAATTCAACCCTCCGTTTAGATGCCAACTTAAAATTGAATGTTATGAAGAAGGGGAAAAAAAAAAATCAGCTCAACTCAGCCATACTAGTATTCGGCCCATTTGATCAGAGATTTTCATTGAGGAAAATTATCAAACATTTGAGCTACAAATTTAAATTCCCCTAACCCTCTTAAATTTTTTCTCGGCAACCAAACAGAAAAAGAAACGGCAAGGGATTACCCGGGTGGCAAGTTCGAGAGACTGAGCATTGTCGATGATGGAACCGGGCACAGCGATGCTGACCGTGGGTATCTCATTTGGTTCGACGTCGTTTTGCTCATTCTGTCTCTTGTTTTTCTCTTTCTTCCTCTTCTTCTTCTTCTTCTTCTTCTTCTTCTTCGTCTCAAGAGAATCGCCATTGACGAGCTCTGAATCGTCTTCTTCATTGCGTGATTGTACTGCTTCTGACTCGTCTCTCTTCTTCTTCTTCGCCATTTCGACCTACAAGTTTAGTTTAGGGTGTGTTTGTCATGTAAAAATACGTGATTTTGATATTAAGAGATTTACGTAAAATACAAACTATCGTATATAATTGTAAAATTATTTTTTATTTTTAAAATTTTTTAATAGCATAATAAATTATCTATTGTATTAATAAATTATTAAAATCTTGCTTAATTAACAGAATTAATAGTTCAAGGATTAAATTATATGAATTAGTATATTATTACTTATTTAATTAAATTAGTGAGATAACCGTTCATTATATATTCTTTTTTTTAATTATAATTTTTATTCTGTTAATATTAAAAATTCGTCAATTTTATTGGATTGAATGTTCGCTATAAATGTAATTCAATTAATAAAAGTTGCAGTTAACACATGGGAGTGTGACTCTATAACAATCTCAATTATACGCTATAATCCTACTAATCAAACATATCCTAAGCCAATTTATAGATTTTAATAATGTTAAAAATATGTTTTAATAATTTTGGTAATCTTATTGTTATATATATAAGAGTAGTTAGGAATTTTATTTTTCTGTTAATTTTGTTAAATAAAAACTTTTGATAAGAAAATAGGAAAAATTACTCATGAATCTCATTTTAATAAATGTTGCTCTAATTAGTCTTAAGTGTTTTTTCTTAAACCATTTAGTCTTTTTTATTTTTGGTATGGCATATGTTTTCGATATATTGTATATAGAGTTTACATTTTTACCCATATTGATTTCATTTTGCAACAACATCATCAATATCATCAAACATCAACTACATCATCACACATCATCAATTTGTGAACACCATCAGATCATCCCTACTGTCTCTTCTCATCTCTCTCTTTAACCACATATCTCTCTAGCTCCTCCACCGGCTCTACCACGGGCCCACCGTCCTTTCTTAAGTCCCATCAGCAGAGCCGACGACCTCGTCGTTGTCTGAGAGCCTCCACACCGATCTCTCTCTACTTTCTCTCTGTCTAGATCCTCTGCCATCCACACCGATCCAGTACCACCGCCGTGAGATCATGAGATCCGTCGCTTTGCCACCGCTGACCTCTCTACCTTCGTGGTTCGCAATCGTCTGCAACGTTTGCTGATGTTTGATGATGCTTGATGATTTTTGATGATGGTGATGTTGTTGATGATGGCGATGAAGCTTGATGATAGCGATGATGTTTTGATGTTTCACAATGTTGATGATTAATGTTGAAGATGTAGTGATGTTGATGATGTTTGATGTTTGATGTTCACTACGTTGATCATATAAACACCAACCCAAAATGTATAGTAAGCTTGATGGTTGATGATGTTTGATGTTCACAACGTTTGATGTTTGATGATGGCGATGTTGTTTTAATGTTTGATGTTTGTAATGTAGTTGATGTTGCTGATGTTCGGAAATGAGGAAAATCTAAAAAGGCCTATAGTAAGCTTTTTGGGTAATTCGGTAAATTACACATAAACACCGACCCAAAATTACCCTCTCAATTACTAACCCAAATGCGTAAAAAAATTGATACTAATGTCTTTACACATAAAATAGGACTTATTAGTCCACCAAAAAAACGTCTGGACTAAATGGATTAGCATTCCCAAATTAAGAATTTAATGGTGCTTTCCCCATTTATTTATTTTAATTTTTTATTAAATATATTTAATATTAGTCTCTTTTAAAGGTATATTTTCAATGATATTTTAATTTAATAAAATTAAAATTTTATATTAAAAATTATATATATTATGAAATAAAATGAAAAAGATTAAAATAATTTTTTTTAATTTTTTATTAGGAGAGAGAAAGAGAGAGAGAGGGGGGGAGAGAACATGTGAGGATAAATTACACTATGCACCTCTGTACTTTACACAAAATTCCATTTTAGTCCGTACACATCAAAGTAGGTTTTTGTGTAAAGTGCAGCGGTGTAAAGTGTAGCGGTGCAAAGTGTAATTTAGCCATTTTTTCTAAAGTTCTTTGTTGGAGAATTTTTTTTTAAAATCCCTGATATTAAAATTTTATAAGATAAATGATATATAATATTTTTATAATAGTTAGGATCTCTTAACATTTTTTAAGAAAAATTTCGATTCAGAGAGAATCTTCAAACTGAAACATAAAATCTTAGGCAAACTTCACTTTACTCCCTTGTGGTTTTGGCTGGGTGCGGATTACCCCATGACATTTGGAAAGCACCACATAGCCCTCATATAGTTTGTGGACTGAAACGCACACTAACTTCTGTTAACAAAACATGTAAATTTACATTTCTGCCCCTATCTTCTTCCACTTCTCTCTTTTAAATTAAATTTGCAAATATACATACATACATACATTCATATATATGTATATATATACACACACACACACCTATTTTCTTTCTTCTTCCTTCCATGCTACCAACTCTAACAAACTTCATTCCAACCTGTACAAGAAATCCAAGTGGCACACACATCTCTACACCAAAAAACCAGTCACTCATTTTCACCATCAACAGTAAATGCATATATATATAACTTGTAAATGCATATATATTATCCAATCATTTAATATTCTACAAATTAAATTAAAATCTAAATACTAAATTCGTAAATTCATTCACAGTAGCTATCCATTATATTGGCACAAATCATTCACAGTAGCTATTCCTAAAAAAAAAAAAAAAAATGCTTGTGAATATATACTTTTTCATCCTAAAAGGCTCTTTATCTCTTCCATCACCACTCATCAACCCAAATTTCAATCATATACGCATATATAATTAGCCATGGCAATGGATAACCTACCTGTGGGTATTCATGGAGGCTCAACCCAAATACATGGATTTTCCTCTCTTTTTCTTATCTATTGGGTAGGGTAAGTGATATTCTTTAAATATCCACAAGGGATGGGTTGGGGATGGGTACCCATTAATTTCCTCATTTTTTTTTTTAAAGATTCACAATCAAAACTAAATATACATTCAATCTTTTTTATTTTTTTATTTATTTACTTTTTTCAGGTTCACAACCAAATTTTTTTTTTTTTTTTTTTTTTTATTTATTTATTTTTTTAAGATTCACAACCAAAACTAAATATACATTCAATATTTTTTCTTTTATTTTTTTATTTATTTTTTCAGGTTCACAACCAAATTTTTATTTTATTTTATTTATTTATTTATTTATTTTTTTAAGATTCACAACCAAAACTAAATATACATTCAATATTTTTTCTTTTATTTTTTTATTTATTTTTTCAGGTTCACAACCAAATTTTTATTTTATTTTATTTATTTATTTATTTATTTTTTTAAGATTCACAACCAAAACTAAATATACATTCAATGTTTTTTCTTTTATTTATTTATTTTTTTTTTCAGGTTCACAACCAAATTTTTATTTTATTTTATTTATTTATTTATTTATTTTTTTAAGATTCACAACCAAAACTAAATATACATTCAATGTTTTTTCTTTTATTTATTTATTTATTTATTTATTTTTTCAGGTTCACAAGCAATTTTTTTTTAAGATTCACAACCAAAACTAAATATACATTCAATTTTTTTTTCTTTTGTTTTTTTATTTATTTATTCAGGTTCAA